ATTTGCAGAACGACTATCAAATTACTTTATAAAAATCTGTATTAAAAGGATTAAGACTACTGTTCAGTTGTCAATCCGTATCTAACAGGTTTGACAGGAATGGCTTTAGCCAGAAATCGAAAGACAATTTTCCGGAAGCGAATCACTTGTACATGAAAGATGAACCAGCATCAAGTTAAAACAGTTAGATAATATTTTACTAGCACAATACATATAACCGTATTAAAGAGTTTTTTAATGAATATTTGTTTTATTTGTTGTATAATTCTTTTTACCTATAACGCTGACGTTATTGACACATCTATTCATTGTTTAACCGCTTTGACTATTGTTGTATTACTTATTGTGTAAATATAATAATGATGATGGAATAGTTAACTTCGCGACTTGTTTCATATGCATTTTTTTACCAATGAGGGAATCTCTCCAGGTGTTACCCTCCGATTTCAATGAATTTTTGTTTATAGATACTAATGGTGTTCCAGTAAAAACTTTAAAAGGATTTAGATTACTATCGCTTTCTTCAAAACTTATGTATATTCTTATTTTGCTCCTATAAGGTATAACATACAATATTGAAAAGAGGATTCGCCAGACAACCAATCAGGCTGGCTGTCGTCAAATGTTTTTTTCATGTTTTTTTAGCACAAATGAATGGTCGTATTGGGAAACTTACAGATCCAAAATATCAAGTTGTTCTGAAGTACTTATGAAAAATGCCAAAGAATCATAATTATCGGCCTTGTGTGGTTAGAGCATAAAAATTTTTAAAAATGTTTTTTTTTAAATTTTAATATTTTTTTTTCGATAAATCCTTCTGTCTGTGATCGCTCCTTTGAGCCAGAAAAGCGTTCAAAAGACGTAGAATTTCAAAAGCTTACAGAAACTCAATTCATTTTTTTGCAACACCATAGCTTGATAAGTTTAGAGGCAAATTACAAGCAAAAGAACGGCTCTAAAATATAGACCCCTTCTTTTGTGGAAGCCCAATCAATTACTAAAACTTATTGTAATGAACAATGGCGTACTCCGTTTTGTACAGAATTCGTTAATGTATCTTGTGAGACCTTTTCTAGCCCAAAGAGACGATCAAAGACAGAAAGATTCTAAAAAAAAAACATCAAAATTTAAAAAAACAATTTTTTAAAATTGTTACGATCTCATCACGAAAAATTGATTGTTCTGATCCTTGTCATTTTTCAAAAGTACTTCAGAACAACTTGATAGTTTGGATCTATAAGTTTCCCAATACGATCATTCATTTGTGCTAAAGAAAACAAAAGAAAACATTTGGCGACAGCCAGCCTGATTGGTGGTCTGGCGAACTCTCTTTTCGATATTGTATGTTATACCTTATAGGAGCAAAGTAAGAATATGCATAAGTTTTGAAGAAAGCGATAGTAACCTAAATCCTTTTAGAGTTTTTACTAGGGGAGTATGTAGTATCCATAAACAAATATTCATTGAAATTGGAGGGTAATACTTCGAAAAGTTCTCTCGTAAGATATGTGTGCTATTGAAAAAAATGACTATATGTCTTGGTTCAGCTTAATGTCTGTCCTGTCGCGCAAGACAGGATGGGAAGTTGTTTTTCGTCCTTCCCTAGTGCTCAGCAGGACAGAAAATTCGTCCTATGCTCACCTCTGTATAAATAGTTTTCAACAGACTAAAGGAAATTCAATGACGAGGCCTTCTTTAAATATTTTGCATCCTACGACGTTTGTTTTTTAATGTATTTTGATGCTGTTGAAGATTAATAACGTCCTTTTATTTTTAGATCATAAAATTGGTTATATTCATAGCGACATTCGGATTGGAAATATGATTATGTATGAAAATATGATATATATCATCGATTATAGTAGTGCTGTACAACCGAAAACTCCAATTTATTATCAAGGTTGTTTATCTACAGCATCAAATGGTATACTAAAAATGTTAGGATCAAATATTGAAAAAATATCATTGTATTATGCTGATGATGGAATTTCATTTTTAAAATGTATATTATTATTAAAACCTTATTTTCAACATTATACATCAATTATTAAAAAAGCAATTGAAGATAATATGGCATGGGATATTCTACCAACTTATGAATATGCGATGAAATTATTTAAGGATAAAAATGTTATTAAAACACTTGCTTTTTTAGAAGAAAATAGAGAAATATTATCCATTGATGATTTAAATGATATAATAATACATGCATTAAAAAATGAAAAAACAGATGATTATCATATCGATGAATATTTACAAAAATTAAAGTTATAAATGATTAATAACTGAACGTTTATTTTTCTCTTTTTCATCTCTTATGTTACGTGTTGTTATAGTTGTTGTGTGTGATTTTTTTTGTTCTACAACTATTGATTTAGGTAAAATAAAATAACAATCTGATTACTGATCGATCAAATCTAATTGTTTCTTGTTCATATACTAATTTCTTTTTAGCTAAAGAAAAAATTTTATTTGGAATTCTACATATTTGACATTAAAAATACCTGATGCTTGTTGTTGAAGTTTTTTTTGTAACACTTTGAAGAAGTCGAGGTGAGTCAAGAATGATTTGACTATCACTTGTATCAATTAGTGTTGCCTAGTGCATAAATAAATATAGTTAAAATATCATTTAAAAAAAGAATTTACTTGAGTAGATGTTTAATCATCAATTCGATTACGACGTGATGTACGTGGTGTTTTTGGTGGTGTACTATGTTCTATATATTACCAACATAAAAGAAAAGAAACAAAAAGACAAGAACATATACCAGCTGCAAAATCATCATCCATTCGGTTAGTTGTAGGTCGTTTACCAACTGTTGGTGGTGTAAACAATTATTCACTAGTCAAAGATATTATCTTTCAATGAAAAAAAAATTAAAATAAATCATTTTTCAAAAGATTTTTTACTGAAATATCCGATAAATCATCAGATTTTTTTGTTGGAACAACTGCTATATTTTTAGATTTTTTGTTTTTTGTCGATTAGAAAGTTTTTTGAATTGTTCTTCATCATAGTCATCATCTTGAATTTGTATAAAGGCAAGCTTTTTTCGATTAGCCGCTATTTGACCATGTACAGTTGGTGCACGTCCTATATTTTGACGTTCAATAGCCATCACTGGTGTACTTGCTGTCGAAATATCAGTTGCTGTAACAGTTGATGGTGTTGGTGAAGTTATATTAGTAGATGGACGCATATCAGGTGTTGAAACTTCATAGATAGCTCAAAGAGGTGTTGCTTCATTGTTACCACCTATAGTAATACGACATGCTGTTTCACCAGGTTTAGGTGTACTTGTATGACGTATAAGAACTAAATCAGTAACATGTGGTGTTGATAATGTTACAGGAGCTGGTGTACGTGATGGTGTAATTAAAGATTCTGAAAATATTAATAAAAAATATGATTGAGTTTTACTTTTCGAAATCATGAACTCACTAACTGCTGATAATAGATCTTTTTTCTTTTTACTTCTTGTTGTTATTGATGATAGAAGATTACGTTCACTTTTACTTGAGTCTACATTATTTGAATTGAAAGAAAAAAAAAGATGGTATTCTATATTAAGAAATAAAATATTATTTTACCGATGGATGTTGTCAATTTTTTAGTACTCTTTAATTTTGGTGATAGAACTAAAAAGTATTGATAAGTTTAAATTAAATATTAAAATATCATTGATACTTACCAATTGGTGGTTTTATTGTTTGTATTGGAGCTTTTGATTTCTTATTTTTTTCAATTTCTGTTGTTTTTTGTTCAGTAGTAAGTAGATTTGCTTTTGTAGGTAAATCATCTGAATGAATACTTGATCCAGATAATTGATGAGTCTAAAATATAAATTTTTATTTAAAAACAAACTTGAAATTATTAGTTTTTTTTACATTAGGTAAAAATTTCAACCACATTTTCCCACCAGGTGTTGTTAATCAACCCATTAAATGACTTGTTCCATTCTCATGATAAACTTTTTTCATATTTTGCTTAACAAAATGAAAGGGTGTTGGAAATTTTTTTTCCTTATTTTCAACTAGAAAAAAAAAAGAAAAAAAATCAAATAAATTAGATGATATGAAGTTTACATTGATCAAGTGCCGATAAAATAAATGTAAGTTCAACATCATTTGGTAAAGCCTCATTCTAATTAAACATATATTCTATTTGATGAATTATATGAGCTATCATCGGAATAGATATTGTTGATTCATCTTGAGATAATTTTATTGTATAATCAAATACAAATGAACATGAATCATAAATCTAAATGAAATATTTCAAAATTGAAAACATTTTTTTTCATAAAATCGTTTTTTTACTGTATTAATACCGTTCTTTTTGTAAAAGATCATTGTTATACTAAGAATATGTTGTTTACGAACACCATCAACAATAGTCCGTAAAATTTCTGTAAGTTTATAGATTAATGATGGGCTTGTTCGACTTAGTGGTCGAAGACCACAGATTGGAGTTTCTTAAATAAATCTAAAAAAGAAAAACTATTAGAAAATGAAAATAAATACAAACCACCAACGATAATACGATTAAAACAATTATTTGGAAGATATTTTAATTTTGAAGCATTGTCGATATAAGTATGTATGTCATCACCGGAAGTAAAACAAGTTGTTTTGTTCCATCTGTTTGAATAATTGATTCTTTTCCATCAATTGTTAATGATTGATTATAAAGATTTTGCCACTAGAAAATAGAAAAAAAATAAATTTATCCAAGGTTTTGTTAAACCAAAACAATCATATTTACCAAGTTTAATCCTTCAGGATGAATTGGGTATTTATTCGTCATGATTCAATGTTCGATTAGATGAAGAACAGCTAGAAATGATACGACTAAACTGACTATATACAACTATAAACACAAAAAAGAAAGAGAATACAATGTGTACAACATCATTCTTCGATAAAAATAATCTACTATATCGAGAACAAGAATCAGCCAATGATTATACTAGTAGACGTGTTGTAATCGGAAACCCCTCGATATATTGATTTCAATAGGTATAAAAGACCAAAAATAGTGATTACTATCAGTCTTTATACCTTTTTTATGCTTAGTCAGAGAACTGTTGATACATGATGCTTGTTTGCAATTGAATTAGTTGCATTTACACTTAGGAAGTAACCGAAATCGAATGATGATTTACTGACATAATTGGAAGTAATCTATTAATGTGGATCTACAAAAGGGATAGACGAATGAAAATGATATCATAGAAAGTAATTTCAACGATCAACATAAGACATGAATTTTTTTTCTTTTATAAATATCATTAATACTTATATAAATTTGCGTTACTGTCTAAATATATAGCTAAGCACGCGTTGCACTAAAAAGTGTCCAATAATAGTTCGTCAAGTGTGACTTTGATTTATCATAATATCCTCATGGTAATTAATCGATCTTAATTTATTTACAAATTACATGTTCATTGATATAGCATTGAATTGGTAATCAAATCATATTGAAAAATTTAATCAATGGAACTCGCTAAATCTTTTACTTCCCATTGGCAATTGGAATTCCCATTTCTAGAATGACTGCATAAAAATAAAGAACGCATGGAATTTAAAAACGACAGGAACATTTTTTGTGGTGAACGTGGTGAGCTATAGATTAGTAAAAAGAATATTTTTTTATCGCATCATCTTCGAAATATTGGACCAATGATCTTTCGGAATTTCTATGCGATATAAATTGATGAAAGTGTCTAGCAGTAAGTTAGATATGTTTTGAATGCATCACAATAAGTTGGCTAATTGCACACGCTAACACACATCACTGACCAAGAAATCAATTTGAGGCATCTTTGGGACTATTATGAGAAATGGTAATATATCTATTATAAACTTCAATTCATGAGAAAATAGAATAGTTCCGTTGTATCAGTCTAGTTTCCTGTTTACAATAATTAGAGATCAAAATCTAGCTCTAGAAGCCCTCAAACTTCATGAGGACACATTCAAAAATATTTGTTTCCAGAGTACAATTTACTTGTCCCATATAGGGCTATTTATTAAAAAATACAGATCTCTAGTGAATTATTATTATGGAGATATTCGACCACCATTAACTTTCTCTTTAAATTTGAAAATATCTTGTTATCATTGGTTAAAAACAGCTAGATTTTAGTCCTCATTAGAATACTTTATGATGACATTCTACACGTTTGCTCAACTTCACAGCAAGGATACAGCGAATCACTTAAAAACGCATTGATTTTTCTTACTATGACGATGTTGTTCTTGTCATTGAACTTGAATGTCAATGGAGGATTTCATGAAGTATCGATGCTTTATTTGCTAAATCGTTTAATGTAAGTTCGTTTTTCAATGTCATTCTGGTATGACAACTTTGATATCTTGTCCAAAAGGACGTGTTTGGAATCAAGATAAACAGTTTTGCCATTGAAAACTAGCTAAAAGAAATTTATTTGAGCTAGAGAATCAGCAGTGAGTTTATGTACTTGAATCAAGACAGGGCTTAGAATAAAGAACATGATCCTCTCATCAACATACATCTAGACCTAAATATAATTAAAAGTCGTACTTATCATTTTGTCATCCAAGTATTGATCATGATAATCATCTTGTTTTCGTTTTCAATTATAGTTAAGATTTCATGGTCGAATTCAATTGTTCCGTTGTCATGGAAATGAAAATCAGTAATTTAAATAAAACAATGATAATAATCTTCATGTAATAAGTAAATATCTGGATATTCCTGATTCCAATACACGAAATCATCAGCATATACAATTATTTACTTGTCATCCAGAACAACAAAATCACAGATATTCCTTTGATCAGCAGGATTGTATCCACGTAATTGGCAAATGTTTACATGTGCCGAATAATAATATAATCAATAATAACCCATTGCAATTGTTTCGATATCAGGGTGTGGGTGTGAGGTGGATATATGTATTCTCTTCACATCCATACCAGCACTCTTAAATTCTCTGCGAACCGGAGCCACAACAAAGCGAAAAATCTAATCACAAGACTTCTCATAGTTCATTGGGTCGATATTGCCACTAACAATCAGGACTTTAAACTTCATCAAAAATATTCTCATACAAACAGATAATTTTACTTTATTTACCGAAAACATTATGGATAGCATATTTCTCGGACTTGTACACTCGAGATGATCATCCTTCGAGTTTATGATAAATCTGAATGACTACAAGATTTAATGTCGAAAATGCTTAACTTTACAGTAACAGTGCTTCTCATTGATTTAATAGTGACTCGTATTCCAAAATATGTACGTAATAGAAATTTCTTATCTCAAAATGTATTGATCAAGAAACAATGAAGTATAAAGTCAACAGAACCGGAAAACCTTTACATTGATAGCAAATCAATAGTTGAGAATTGATACAAAGTTTCCTTTCTTTCTTCATGGTAATCCATCATGCATGATACATGAACAATAAACTTAAACATCTACCCAGTTCAATTTTTTTAAAAATTTTCCGTCTCATAGTTTATCCATTGTAAAAGTAGTGTAAGTATGGATAGCAAACATTTTTTGTAATGAATATTTATGTGATGAATTATCCATATTTCTCTCAAGTAGATTTAATATCTTATCGAGAAATTCAGGATAATAATCATCAACATATAATCTTTTTGACATGAATTATGATGTGTTCTTTTAGACAACTAATATCAATATGTGTCTCTATGTCGAAATTTTTCTCACCATGTATTTTCATTCTTCAACAATATTTTCTATAGAAAACATCTTGAAGCTAACAGAAAGTTTTTAATTAAATCTTAATTTTCGATCGATTCAATGGGATATTGTTTTATTATTATTATTAAAGAACTCATATTGGAAATCATTTCGAAGTTAGAAATAAAAATAGATATTAATCTTTATCCATATACACAAATGTATATTAATGAGGTAAATCATATATAAGAAATCAAGTCTTTTTTTACTTTAAACATAGAGAATAGCCATTATATTATGGTTAGTAACAGAGCTCCGCGGGACGACAAAAATGTCGTTCCATCCCGTCCCATGTCTCGCGTTTCCTTGTCCCTTCCTGTCCCATCCCGTCTCATTCTGCCACATCGACATAAGTCCTGTTTCTCGAATTGGTATTCAAAAAAGTACAAGAAATTTATAGTTTTATCTGCAGTGTGACTCATTCATTTAATTAATCATGTTCCAAAATAAGATTTACACAGCAACATCTTATCGCAGAAAAGAGTTAAAAAATAAATAAGAAATACAATTTCGAATGCTGCTCGTCGAGTGAGTGACTCGAGAAAAATTATATTATTGAGACTTTCTAGATTGACTGAAATCCAACGTTCAGACATGCCTAGTCCATCTCCGCTAAATTCATGTTTCAATCTTGCTATAGTTGCTGGAATGGAGTCATCAATATTACGTCATCCATTTTAGAAGATGGGGATCGGCAAATGTTGACTTTTGATTATTGGATCTACTGACTGACAAAACGAATGCCCTTATCTTTCACTGATTATTTGTAAATGCACTGTAAATTTTTTTAGAAATGAGCTAAATGTTAAGATTTATATGGGTATTTCCACAGGATCTCAACCACACTATACAAAAATGATCTTCGATTTTAATGAAATTTTCAGCGTTTGTAGAGCTTTTAATTCTAAGCATTTTCATAAAAACATTTTTAAAAAACTTTTGTTTTCATGGAGATACAGCCAAAATACTGTTATTAGGAATTATTAGTAAAATGTGAAAAAACGGATTTTCTGCATAATTTCGACTGATAGTTTCTGCTAGCTTTCTCCACTAAAATGAAGTTAAAAATAAAACCCAACACCATATTCGGATTCCTCGTGAAAAGGCGCATCGAACCATACAAAAATTGATTTGAGTTTCGAAAAAAAGTTGTGACTCGCATATGCCTTGACTGATCATCGGTTGCACAAAAAATAGAGCTCTTGATTACTTCAGAAAGCCGAATTGCTCGATATAGTGGTATAGTGTATTCAATAGAGCGTCACTTGCTCTACAATCCTGATAGTTTAGAATTCTCCAACCTTTTAATTCAGTTAAAATATTGAGAAAACATTTTCAAATAGCATTATTTTGCCTATGATTTGGATAGCGCAAAACTAAAGTTTCGTTTTTTATATACATGGTTAGATAGAGCTCGTTGAGCTGAGTAAGAATATATCTATTTTAATATTTTTTCAAAATGTTTTTGATTGAAAAAACTCAAGTTTTCTCGATAACCCGCAGTAGACCATTTTGTCAATAAAAACCCAAAACATTACTATATTTTTCAAAGTATTTTTCAATTTGAGTAAGGATGGGATGTGGGTGTGAGTGTATTAGAGAATACAAGGTTCACATCCACGCGGATTTCCACATGCGCATCCACACTCTTTCGAACAATTCGATGATCTTTTAGTCAAAATTTTGGTTACTACTACTTGTATTTCGTGCGTAAATTTATTTTATTTCATAATTATTATAATGCATGTTTGTTTTTTTTGCTTCAAATAGATCTTAGTTTTATTTGAAGAACATTAAAAGAAGTAAAAATCTAGTAGCAGTTTTCGGTGTTTAACAGGTAAACATGTATAAATTATTTTTATTTTCCCGATATTCAAAATAAATTAGGAATGAAATATTGAAATTGCTACTGAATCGTAAAAAAGAATATAAATCTGAAATAGTTTACGTTATTTGACAAAATATTTTCTTAACATACATCGTTGAAGATTATAAAGATTTGTATTCTAAATATTTTTTAAGATGATTATTAACAAGTATGATTA